TAAGAATTCTTTGCAAGTCTTGCTTTTGGTCCCGAGGGCACAGAGACAGCCAAAGGTGAGACAAAATGAGCAAGCCTTGGACAGACCCGAATCCTGCAGCAATTTACCGTCCGCAGACTTGTACCACGAAGCTGCCCATGTTTTTTTCGTAAACGTGGCAAATGTCAAAACCTATACTATACCCTCAAAGCCGGGTTTTGCGCCCGGGATGCCGCTCTTCAGAAGGTTGAAGAAACCCGGCTCAACCCCCCGTATCCGCGAGGCTTCTAGCACCTTGCTGCAAAATGCTACGCTCGGCTTTGCACCCGCTGGTCGAGGCTCGTTCGTGCAGCGCTTCCAGCATGCTCAACAACCCAACCACGGACGACTAGCAAAAAGCAAAGGTTTGTGGCGTAGTATCATTAAATCAGTCAAGTTTGTTGAACCAACTGCGCAGTGGAGCTGGACCGGCGGCGCTAATGAGAGTCGTCAACCAAGAGGCATACAAAAAGCAAGCATTGGCTGATGCTGACTACCAAGAATCGAGGCCCACAAGCGCGAGGAGAAAGCTTCGCCAGCTTTCCGCAGCTCGGGCAAGGGCAGATCGCTGCCAGTGACAGACAGGTATAAGGCACAATGAGATGTTTTGGTAGGTAGCTTCGGACTGTCGAGGGCTATATAGTTTTGGGCGTTGGGTCTCTGGCGCGGGCGTTGATGACATGTCTTTTCAAACAAGGGAAATTGGTCTAGTTGATCTATGTGGACACTGTGAACATATAGCTCCCTTCGATGTCCAGCCATCCGTGGCCGCACCTCCCGCCAAGGAATTACTTGCATGCTGGGGCAGAAGTCGCTGGGCCATGCATGGATGATGCGTGTGGGTTGCCTCGATTTGGGTGGTTCTCCCGGCAGAGGTTTTTTTTCTTGCGTAATAGGCATAGGTTTTAGGTTTCCAAATAAATGAGAGTTTTCTGACGCTCTGTAGGAGGAATAGCAATAATAATAACAGCAGTAGACATAATAACTATTGTTACGTGAACCCTAAGTCCTAACTACGAGGATTGTACCCTGCAATGCGGGCTTCGTCCTAGCAAGGATTAGCAAGGTGGGAGGCAAAAAAACCGTAGTCAGCATAGCTATGTGAATATGATTCTGTGATGGTTGCTATAGCCCGCGATCTGGCCTTGGAGGCCCCGCTGGCCGGAAGCGCGCCGCGTGCTTGGGGAGCTGCACAACATGGAGGCCGACCCAGACAGGTTTAGGGTTTAGGGTTTGGGTTTAGGGTTTAGGGTAAAAAGGGCTTGGGTTTAGGGTTGGGTTTTGGGTTCGGGGTTTTGGGTTTTAGGGTTTGGGGTTTATGCATGCATCCATTGCGGGACTGTCGCGAAGCAACCACTTGAGGACTGCCTACGTACAACACTGCGCGTTCAGTGTGCCTGACACTGGGCACGCTTAGGATCTGCGCCGCAACCGCTTCCTGTACAATTGTATATCCCTCCTTGAGAACCTGCCGGTAAAGACGGCCGGTGAGAAATGCCGATATAATCTGTCACGCCACTCTTGCTGCATGATACTGAGGCCTCATGCACAGTGCTGGGGCTTTGCATGGACTCCGATGCATCGCAAAGCAAAGGTTGAGCCGAGTTTCCATGGGCACTTGCTGACGGACAGAACTGCACGCAGAACGTCAGAGAAGACTAGCCCTTGTGAAGTGAGAGGCTGAGCACACAAGGATATCTGAGGGCACACGGCCTGATGCACCCAAGCTGCTGGAACCGAAACTGGCTCACCTGGTGCAGGTCTGGCAGTTTTGTCCCACTTAGGAACATTTAGCCGGTTCCAATCAACCCGCTTCAGCACTGAAAGCAAAAATACATTTCCATCACCGAGAAGCCTTGTTCATCTGGAAGCCATCGATGCCGCGAGTACCCAGTCGAATGACAGTTGCGCGCAAGGCGGCCACAATAAGAACACATCCCAGCTTGGGACACTATCCCAAGCTGGAAAAACAACTCCTGCGTCGGCAGAAGGCATACCGACTCTGTTTTGGAAGGTGTTTGGCGAGGGGGGGCTCGGGGCTGAGGGTGTAGGGGTAGGAAGGTACCCAAACACCGACGCCGAAACGCTAAGTCGAAAGAACTGTATGTGGTGGCACGATGTTGAAGCAGCTTCGGGATTGGCAGTCAGACCAGTTAGAGACTGTGAGAGGGGGGAGACACGGTAATGTCCTGACGTCATGGATGTGGTAACTTATGCTTCCAATATACACGTGGGTAAGATGAGTCTTGTAGTCCCTGAAAGTTCAGTTTGCTGCAAGCTGAAGGGTTGCTGTGGCCTGAGCTTGGCAGGGTCCGTTCTCTTTTGGAAAGCCTGAGTCTCAAATCCGAAGCCGAAGGTGGCCAAGCGGCCCAAGTTGGGAGCCTACCAGCGATGGGCCTCCCGTCTCAGAGCCGAAGATCTCCAGGGCTGTGAACAGAATGTGCGAATGCACTTGATGGCGCGTCCTAGTTGTGAAAGTGTAAACGCTTATTACACGGCGGAAGGCCAAAACACCCTATGTACATGCCATAGACTCTTTGACTCTAGATGCATGGATGGCTCAGGTACGAGAGCTCAACGTGGCCGAAGGCGTCCTCGAGCTGCTTTTGTCATGGGAGACCATCGAGAGATATGCGTCTGCATGTATTATACTCGTATTACATAATGATACTTTATTCTGCTATATGATACTATACTGTACTATACTGCACTGTAAACTGCAAACTCTACGGTACCATACCATATTACTCTACTATAGGTAATATATTATAGAACCAGTCTTACATTAAGAACTCTGGAGCTTCCCGGACAATAACCCAAGCTTTTCTGAGAAGCCATGCTGCGGCAGCCTCCGTTGAATCCTTTCGGTGCGTGTCGCAGTGCTTCAGCTTCTGCAGGGGATTCAGCAGAGCTGCTCATGCTTGATGCAGCCACCTGGCGAAGACATGCGAAGACCACTTCCAACTATCCCGAGGACGATGGTTTATAGAAGAGCTGTAGATACCAGCAGTCGCTTCTGCGAGCCGCGGGGATAGAAGTGAGCTGATAGCCCAGCCAGTCATCATCCAGCAACGCCCTGAACCTTCTGAATCCGACGACTCAGGTGATGCGGGTAGCCGCAGGGCTTGGCCCTGCCAGCCAGGCACCCTCGGAAGGCCGTCTTCGTACCTCGGCAGAGACATATGTGAAGCAAGGCTTCTGCGAGGGCTCTCTGTCTTATCTAAAAAATCATCTGACTCTGAACTAATCAAGCCTACGTTCTGCCTTCTTACCCCATATGATCCGACCTGAAACTTGCAAGTGTTATCTAGGCATATCTACCCTTATCCATCGGCTATCTATCTATATCTGCCTGGGACAAGCCGACTAACTAACTAGCCAGCTAGCTAACTAAGTACGTAACTAACCAAGCAGCCGACCCACCAACCAGCTAACAACCCTAAACCCTATAAACCTTTAAACACGCACAAATCGCGAAGTGTACCAAGGCAAAAAAACCTTTAAACCATAAAAACTAAACCAACTAACTTACTAAAGTCTGTTTGCCCCAACCAAGCCCTGAAGCTGAGACCTGGTCTCGCCGTGGCAGCCGGATTTGCCTGCGGCTGCGCAGGTGGGTCTGAAAGCTGACCCCGTAGAGGAACATTCGATAAATTATACTTTTTTTTAATTTTATACGATGTATTCTATGTTGTAAGGTATTTCATGGCATTCAACCCTAGTATTGTAGCTGTAGGACAAACGAGGTGCAGGCGATGTTGAGGTCGACGTCCAGGTCGGTCTGCCTGAGAAGGTTGTGCAAAAGGGACTCCTTTGAAACCTTTGGTCGCTTCCCAGCAGCTCTGCACTTCGTGCAAAGTTAAGAGTAAGCTACATGATCTGCATGGGGGTAAGTGGCTCCACCGCTGCAACAGCCTGAGCCGGCTCCGGTTCCGTAGACCCTCAGTCTATAGGCTTTGAAGCTTCCACATCATATAGACCTTCCCCCTTTGGTCGCTCTTTTTGGATACCGTTGCTGGCGTGAAACCATCAACCCTTGCCGGTCCCGGCAAGTCTCTTCAGGACCCTCCGCCCAGCCCCAAGCCGAAGCCACTGGAAGCCGCGGCCTCCGTGGCGATCCTTTGGCTGCAGCTGCGCGGGGCGCTGGGAGTGGATGTTGAGAGCTTGGGATCTCGGCCTCTAGAGGACTAGAGGCAGGAGCTGTGACGATTTTGAGGCTCATAACCTTGCAGGAGTTTCAGCATACAGTCTCTTCCGGGGCTATTAGACGAGTTTTCGGTGGATGACGCCAACAGATCGATCTGCACAAAGACGTTGCAAAGACGTGGTTTCGATCCCCCTGTGGGGTGACCGGTCGGAAGTCCGGCAGATGCAGGGGCGTCAAGCCGCAAGAAGTCTCGGATGCATCCTTCAGTTACTCTAGGGGGCCTAAACGATTACCAATACTATTTCGGGGTTGCTCAAAAATTATACCTCTGTTATGGCAAAACCCCCCGAGCCCTTTTCTAATTGTGAAAGGCCCCTGTGAGGCGGTTTGACTGTTTGACCCTATAGGCGGCCTGCCCGGGACCATCTTCTTGTCCATGCCCCACCATGTGGCTTTGCACATTTATGCGCCGTTTCGGGTGAAGCCGAAACGTACTCTACACTGAGTCGAGAACTTGCCGGGAAGGAGACCTAGAAGTCCCAACTTCTGCCTAGGAACAAGCTCCTCAGCCTCATCGCTTTCCGCAGCTCGGCCGCCACCCTGACTCTGTGGTATAAAGATGCCCGAGCACTGCGGGCAAGTTCACTGGGTGCGAAGGTGTAAGCAATGATGAATTTTCTGGTGCGGTTTGTTTTTCGAAGTTTCGAGCCAGCTTCCCACAGAAGCATCATCTCCTATTCGTGCAGGGGTCTGCTGCACATATCCTCGTGTTCTGCATCGTCGGCGCGCTTGAGAGTGTCTAGCGGTCCAAGCTCCTGTACAGAACTCCAAGCAGATGCTGCGCAGAGGTGCAGCGCGTAGGCCTCTGAGACTGATTTTCCTGGCCTCTACGCTTGGTCTCCTTTTTCGAACTTTCACCGCATGGCAAGATGACTCAGCCTTCGTAGGGTCGCCTGCCGGACCTCGGCCTGAGCGTGTTTCCACCCTGGGCAGGGGAGCTTCGGAACCCTTGGAGGGCTTCGAACCCACCTGGGAAGAGGAGCAGACTCTCTGGAAATCGGTGACGGCATTTAACGCCGCCTGCTGGGGTGCCGCCTACATCAGCACCAAGGCCGGCATCGATACGCTCGTCGCTGCTGGCGTGGAGGATGCTGCCATCGTGTATGGCGCCCTCCGTTTCGGCTTGGCGGCTTTGCCGCTCCTGCCCTGGGTCCTCCGTTCCAGCAGCGCAGAAAGTGCCCGGACTTCGGCCATCGTTGGCAGCCTGAACGGCCTCGCATATGCTGCCATCTTCACAGCTTACTCTTTGGGCACAACTGGTGGCAAGGCAGCCTTCATCTGTTCGCTGCAAACGATTGTCGTCGCTGCATGCACCTCACTAGCTGCCCAGCGTCTCCAACTGGGCACCGTGGTCTCTGCTGTGATGGCGGTGGTTGGAGTGGGCTTCCTGGAGCTTGCCGGAGGCCCCATGGAGACGTCGTCCGGTGCGCCGGCAAAACTTCGGCATCGATTTTGCAGATAGCTCGAAGGTCTCACTTCCTCAACAGTAAGTCTACGATGAATGATGCCAGTAATTAATTTTTAAAGATTTCCTTCTGCGTCAAAGCTGGCTGATCAAAACCCAGGGCAGCGGTAAGTAGTGGCAGATGTTACTTTCGTGTAACTCTCGGTGGATGGGCAATCCCAAGGCGATTTGGTATGTGCAGCTGCGCCACTCGCAATAGGAATTGGGTGGTACATGTTGGGAGATACGATGAAGAAGTACCCAGACGACACCTTGCCATCCCTCGCAATCCAGTTCGTATGTTTTACGGTGCTTTTTGTAACGTGGATCCTTGGTGATATTGGCTGGAAACACGGGCCGTCTGGTATAGTGGATTGGCTGGGTCAGGTGCCAGCAATTTTGCAGACTCCAGGCACCAAGTCCGAATTCAGTCGGTTTGCAGTGGTTCGCTCGGGGTGCCCTGAACCTGTCTACTGTTGCTGCCTAGATGCTCGGATTGGGAGACAGTGAGCTATGTTGGATTTCGGTTCAAGAGTCTCAAGAGTGAACCCTCGAAGGATTCTGGCCAAATCCTGGCGTCTAGACCTGACATCTCAGTGTGAGTGCACTCGTAGGTCTTTGGCCTCCCCTTCTCTTCTCGACGTTCCTGGGCAACGTCATCACGATGCTTTTGGCCAACAAGGCAGTGCAAATGATAAAAGTCTCAGAGGCCGGCACTGCACACTGCGGGAAGCTGTGGGGGGCTTTGACAGAGATGGGCTGTGGTGGACTCTCTCCGATTCAGGTCTCGTTGATAGCAGCTTCTGCTGCCGCCTCAGTGCTGACCGCACCAGACAGCACAGCCTCTGATGTACAAAGTCAGATGAGTACCAAACACAACATGACAAGCTGACATGGCAGGAACCTCTGTGGGCTGCGCTCGCAGCGATGCTGTATCTGGGGGAGGTGTTCACGCTAGCTGACTGCATTGGTGGCGGTTTCATCCTCACGGCGCTTGTTGTCAACGAGCGGCTTGGCCAGCAAAGAGTTCCTTTATCCTAAGTCCCAGCTGAGTGCACGAGATGATGCCATTCCCAGCAACTAGAGGAACAGATCCCCCATTAGAGGGGGCAAACTACCTGACAGGATTGAGAGAAGTTAAGGTTAAAGGCCAAGATCTGACAAGTAGGACTTGGACTTAGACTAGCCTGAAACATCCTTGACAGGAGGATCCCCTATCGAAGCACATAGAATCATAGAACCCTCGTTGCGCCTTTATGCATTTTATCTTACCTTATAGTATAGACTCCGAACCCTCAGTTGGACTTCGATAATGTCCCATGCAGGCTTTGGGAAGAAGGAGATGCAGAGCCCAAGAGTACGGCGATTATGCCTGAGGCCAAGCAAGGCGGCTGCCCCAGATTCCCGTGATAACTTATGGGCATCTGATCTGAGATCCTCAAGTCTTGGCTTGTTTTTTTTTGCCTCAGGAAACGAGAGGAAACAGATGGAACTCGTGAGCTGAATACCATCTTTACGATGTAGGCTTTCTCCAATACCCGGGTGCGCAAGAGAGAAGCAGCGGCAAAGCTGCGTGCTTCTCCCTCCACCATTGATCGGCCATCCGCTCTGGCGGGTGGCCAAGACACAGCCAGCTTGTCAGCTGCTGCCGCTGGCAATGGAAAAATAAAACGTGTGACTGTCGGACCATTGCCGGGATCTGCGCTCTGAAGATGCTTCTGCGCATTTTCATATCCTCAGTCCTGGAAGAAAGCCCTGATAGGTGGCGTGACCTAGTGCCTCAGGGCGTGGCAAACCGTTCAGGCCGAAGGATATAAGGATTCAGAAGATGGGCGTTGGTGAAGGTTTGCGGATGTTGTGAATCCGGATACTCGAGTGATGTTCGCTAGAAATGTTATACACTTGTTGCATCTCAGGCAAAAGCAAAAGCGATGCTGATGGAAGCACGTCTTTCACGCGGCTCTGTTGCGGTTGGGTAGATTTAGATATAGTGTTGCGCCTCCTGCACGTGCCCCAGAACTTTGTCTCCAGGCTTTTCTGAGATTTCGATTCTACCCATAGGCCCCTAAGTAGTTCCATTTTGGGACTACCTTATAGGATTCTATATATAAACCATAAAAAGGAACTACTTAGGGGCCTATGGGTACAGTAAAGGCTGCTTACGAAACGAGGGTCTGAGAGTGGCTCGTGTTGCTTAGTGCATCTCGATGCCCCGACCGATGCCACCACCGGCTGCCCTCATAGCTCCAAGTCTGAAAGGGCACCGGGTTGGAGAATTTTTTAGGATTTGCGCGTGCAAAATGTCCATTGTAGTAGCTGTAATGACATTACACAAAAGTGGAAGCAGTGCGGATGCCAACAGTCGCAACCTTAGCAGCTATAGGGTGCTGTTGTAAAGATTCTGACAACTTGGCTGAGGCCGGGAGACTGGCGAGTTCTGGCACACGAGGCGGCAGCTGACCGCCTGCCACCAAACCGGTACGACCTGGATATCTTCATGTGCTTCCTGGCTGACAGTTGGAGTGCGTGGCAAGGGCCGTTCGGGACCGGAAAGGCTGACATAGCATCTAGAGCTGGAAGTGGTGCAGCGAGATCATCGTAGCACAGATCCGAATCCCTTGAGCCCGGCCCGGCAGTTGCTTCTTTGCGGAAGCAGTCGGGGTGTCGCACAGGTTTGGCTCGAGACTTGACAGCAGGCAGGGCTGTGTTCCAAGCCATGCCGATGCCGGCACAGCCTGCGGAGGAGGAGTCCGTTGCGGCCTCGTCGCATTCGCAGCATTTCGAGCACACCAATGCAAGCAGCTACAAGTTCGAGCACACCGGGGTCAGCACTCTCAAGAAGGCACATTCCTGCCTCTCTCAAGGCACGACCGCAATGACTGGAGTAACTCCCGACAACAACAGCGTAGCATCAGAGTCGCACGCTCCAGCTCCGGAGCTTAATGCCATCAAGGCCGATGTTGAAAATGCCTTGCCCTGTGGCGAAGCAGTCAGCATCTGGACGAGGTCGACCATTGGGATTGTGCTGAATGGATTCCTTCTTGCCTTCTTGAGTGCCATCTGCCGTGGTGTTATCTACGGCTTCTTTCTGGGCTACATGGGCTTAGACTCCTATGTCCTGGCATCCATTGCGGCACTCATGAAGCTTCCGGATGTCTTCCCCCTAGCTTATGGGATTCTCACCGACTGCTTTCCGATCCGTGGGCAGAAGAGGAAGCCTTGGCTCTTGATTTCTTGGACCATTTCGGCCGGTGCACTCCTTGCAATGAGCCTGAAGCCCCAACCTGGCCCCTTGCACTGCTTCGAGAACGGGGAGTACAACTGGTATGTGCCTCCCTGCAACCCTGGGATCCTGAAAGAGAAAAATTGGTACGTTTTCCCCATGTTCATCTTGACAGCCGGTCTCCAGCTGGGGGCTGTCTCGGGCGAGGCCCTGCTATTGGAGTACTCACAGCTTGAGCCGCTGGAGCATCGTGGGCAGATCAAGGCGGAGATGACCGTGGTCTGCACGGCAGGGGCCCTGGCTTCCTCTCTGTTTATTGGCATCTTCATGAACGGCAAGGAATACTTGGGTACCTTCGACTGGGGCTTGTCCTTCAGTGGTCTGATGGCTGTTTGCTTGGTCCTGGTCATCTTGATCATTCCCGTGACAGTCATGTGTGTGTATGAGCCTCCAAAATCAGGGCAACGCACATCGTGCCGGGCTCATGTAAAGTCTTCTTGGGAGCTCGTTCAGGGGAAAGCACTCTCCAGCATTCTTTTCTTCGCTTTCATTGTCCAGTTTTTGTTCTCCATGACGACGACCGCCGGACCAATGGTCCGGAGCCAATGGGCGCAGGTGAAAGTTCTGCAGCAGCAGATGTTTGGCATGGCTGGCCTGTGCATCATGATGGCGTCCACCTGGATCTACAGAGTGTATTTTCTTCAGGCAAGCTGGAGAAAAGCCATCTTTGCAGCGATCTTCGCAGTGAACGTGCTTGATGCCATCCCGCAATTCCTCACGACTTTTGACTTGGTGCGGAACCAGTACTTCTACCTGGGCGAAGACGTCGTGAGCTCCATTCCCAACGCCGTCTTGCAATTAGTCTCGAACTTGATGATCATCGAGCTCGCCGAGCCGGGCCGGGAAGGTCTCTCCTTCGGATTGATCGGAACCTTGCAGCATTCCGCAATGCCCTTTGCTACGGTGATCAGCAACCAGGTCTATGGGCTTTTCGACCCGAAGCTCTCGAACATTGAGAACTACATCCTGGACACTCCCCAGTTTCGTTCGACCGTCGCATGGTCCTATGTGCTGAGCTACGCCGAGTCGTTCCTTGCCGTGGCCTTGCTTCCGATGATTCCATGGCAAAAAGCCGAGGCTCATAGGCGGAAGAGAGAGTGGAGCTCCAACTCCGTCATGGCAGCGATAGTCCTTGTGATCCCGGCCCTCTGCTTGACCTACGGAATCATTGTCTTGCTGCTGACAAGCCAGCCTGAGACAGCTTGCTTTCGTTGGGTTGGAGGCCAGGGCTGCGAGACTCCAAGCTGAAGAATCAAAAGGAATCTCAAGGAGCTTCCATGAAAGAACCTATAACCTGTTTATGCCACGGCTGCGGCCAGCACAAAGATTCACATTTAGGACTGAGGGAAGCTACTCCCCGATACACCCCGTGTCCTATTTGCTGGAACATAGAGAATAGAAGTTCCATCTCAAGAAATCCCAAGCCTCCAATCTTCCACAAGATGAGGCCAAGGTGAATTCGACTCCGGTGCCCTCGGTTGGAGACCAGGGCTTCACCGGCGCAGCGCTTGAAGGAGATCCAGTTCGGATTTACGGAGGTCTTATGGAGAGCACAGACCTGAAGCCTTAAGTTGAAAGCTGAAATCCCCAACTGGAAATTTTGTCCGGGGCCTTCGCGAGCTCCTCGCGGGCTTTAAGAATTCCCGGGGGGGGCTTACGTGTGCTCGGAGCTATCTTCACCAGGAAGCTCCCTCCGAGCATCGGGATGACGAATCATCGAAGGTGGTGCACGGTGCAGATCCCTTGAGCTCATCATGTGCAAGAGCCACATCTTAGAGCCAAGTGCTCCGCACCCCATCAGGGAGCTCCAGTTGAAAGAATCCGCGGGCCGTTTCCGCAAGCCTGCTTTGCTGGGTTGTTACCTTCCTCTGCAATGCGAATCTTTCCCGCAACACGACTTCGCATTCGTAGATCGCCTTGTTCTGCTTTGGAATGTTAGTCTTATAGTTAGTTGATTATCCTCTAATGTCTGGTGGCCTGTTCCTTACCGGACCTTTGAGCTGCATCTGCATCTTCGGGGCGTGCACTACGGACGTTCTGGACCCCGATTCCTGGCTGCTGCGCTCGAGAAGCTCAATCGTATGGTCACCTCTCCGTCGTTCGAGCTGGGGTTGTCCTGAAATCGTTGAACATGTGCTATGCCATGCTGATTGCACTCGTCCCGTCAAGGTACAGCGCCATTAACCGTGGTGGGTTAGGATATAGTCAAAATCCCCTCCAGCGAAGGTTCGCCCACTGGGCTGCAGCTAACGATCCGGCCCCCACGGGCTACGCAGTATCACGAGCTGCCAGGACTCCGCCAGAACTTCAGTTTTATGGATTCTGTGAGCAACGTCCCTTTGGCTGTACGTGTGTCGCACCGTAGTGGGGTTTGCCATGCTGAGCCACGGAAGCCTGCCAAACAAAGCTTCCATTCTCCCACATCAGCCCTAAATCTAACCCCTCTGGAGTCAGGAGTGCCCGGGGCCTTCGTGCTGTCCGATGTCCTCTCCGCTCAGGACATCGCCGAAGAACGGGTCCGAAGTGCAAGCATCTCAAGCTATAGGTCAAGGATTTGACCGCGTCGGCTTCTTGTCTGGCACGGCATATGTACTCTGCCAAATGCCTCCCTTCTCAAGGAGTGCCATATGCTCCGCCAGGCGACCGAAGCCATGGGAATCTTGGCCGAATCATGTGCAAACGGCCTTGAGCCACGCAGGTTCCCTGAACTTCGGAATCCCTCAACAGTTGCGCGTGTGGAGACGTCGACGAGTGCGCCCCTAGCATGTGGATGATTCCACCACTGGGCCAAGGCTACCGGCCGGACGTACCTTTGTCCTCCGAACTGGACGAGCGGGCACACAACGTCGTTCTCATGGCCAACGAGCCCTGACGACACAAGAGGTTCAATTGGACCAGGAAGTTTGCTCGGTCCGGTAAGCCCGTGCTCATTAGACAGTTAGCTTCCCTTATATGGACTCGCGTGAAACTGCAGAGTGCTCAGGACTTTCAGAATACCTCGTTGCCTCTTGGCTTGTGAAGACATGTGTTCATTTGGTTGAGGGTGAATGAAAGAGTGCTCGAGCGGCAGTCGCCAAAGGAAACCATCAGCGAAATCTTGTAGCAGAAGGTTGTTTGAGCGCATCGGTACTGTAGTAGTGCAAGCCCGGCAAGTGAGTGAACAACTACAGCAGGAACAGGGTGTAGAGAGTTCTACTGGAACCAGCGGGTGGCAGCACCAACGTGCCTCAGCTTCAAGGCGGTTAATGAATGGGTCCCAGTATGTAGCCTAAAGTTGAACCTCCTAGCAGTTACCCCTCCACAACTGTGACATGTTAGTTCTTCTTATGGAACGTCTCATCGACTCCCTGAGTTATGGTATTCCAGAGCAGAGAACGGCACCACTGCCAGCACCATGAGCTATTGCAGTGGCGCAGCCAAGGAAGAAAGTCTAGTGGAGTCTAGCCTTTGAAGGTTTGAAGACCATCATGCAAGCTTAGCAGGAGGGAAAGCGCCACCTGAATACCAGAATGGATTTTGCATCTCATCAGTCCCCAAACCGCGCACGACCCAGGTTCGACCGGGTGAAGCACCTGCTGCCAAGCAAGCTGGGCCAAGAGAAGCCAGAAAGCTGAATAGAGGGGCCTGACTGATTGGGAATCGTGTCCCCTTAGAGTCGTTAGATGATCGCATACTCTATCATGCCCAACAAGGCCAGGCTAACTATTATAAGGCCTGTCCTCTGAACCAGGCTTCAGGGTTTCGCAGTTTCGAGGCGCAAGGCGAGCTTTCTGTTACTGGAGCCGTGGGCGCTGCTCCCTCTTCTTCGTTCACTGCGGGGCTCGTAGCTAGATCGCGGCTAATCATGCAGCTCTTACTCTAAAGCCTGCCCAAAATTTACTGTCATCTTCACACAGCCGAGAATTGCAGAGGAGGACGGGAGCGAGAGCACTTGGCAGTTGAACCGCTCAGCATTCGGCTGGCCCGAGGCTGTTGGGCATCAACCGCAGGTGGCGATTTTACCGGTACCTGTCTGGCAATCTGCATCTTTGCTGCACTGAGAATGTGGCATATTATTTCTCGCAGTTTCGCAAAATTGTTTTGTTTCATTATGTGAGAGTTGTTCTCAACCCCCGCCTCTTGACTGCAGACGAACAGCGCTCTTTAATGTGTTGATGCAGGTTTATTACCCGCTCCAAAGCCAGCACGGCGCAAGGGCGAGCGCAAGGCGATCAGTAGTGTAAAAGGGTACTGCTCCTGCTGCTCGCGCAAGGGCGGCTCAAGGGGCACCCTCCAACTTCGGTCAATTCCTTCCTTGCCCGAATAACTTCCAGCCGGATTCTGGACTTGCTATTTTTCCGACTAGATCTGGTTTATCAAGGCTTCAGTTCAAGGTGGGAACGTGTTGAAAACTGCGTGCACAAGGTTTCAACTGTCGCCGCAGCAAGCTGTTTGCCCGAAGGCAAAGCAGTCAATACTTTCTGTTTGAGTTTATATCCGTTTGTTTGTTTGTTTATGGAAAATGCTTCAATAATCAATACTTCAGCACCAATTGCTATACGTTGCAAGACATTGAACTCCTGTCTCACTCCATACGACACATTAAACTGCGTGGTGATGCACCAGAAAATACATTGTTTCAGTAGGCAACGACATGCCACAATATCTCAAGTATCCGAACCAGGTACCGGAAGCACCTGGACGGCGCTTGGCCGGCAAGCGGGCTTAAGCGTGGTGAGGACGGCCAGGACGAGTATGTGGCTTTTCCGAACTGAGAATCACGAAACAAACAGTGTAAGGACCCTGTCATGTGGGAGTACTTCTGCAAGTTTTTGGGAGCTTGCCGGATACGCTCTGTGCAACAGACTTCATACCGCATGCGACCCGCTTGTTCTACGGGAATACACGCGCTCAGAGCATTGTCCTGGAACATATGCTTTTGCTTCACGAATGGATGCTGTATGATGCTCTCCGTCGCAGATGCTCTCCGAGTGCGACGTAGAGTTGCCCGTTGCCAGGGTCACATGCCGTTTTTCTTCGGTTTCACGATCGAAGCTGATTCGGAGCACGGGGATTTCGAGTTGGTGCCATCCAAGCATATAGGTATGTAGAAGCCAGCCTTCAGCCTCTTGCCCTTCATGATGGGACAGTTGTATTCTTGGTGCCACGAGTGGTCGCTCATAAAGCTCAGGCGGCCTGGCCAGGGCACGTCCAAGCTTTCGGGGTCCCTGGGACGATCTCAACAACGTGGGCTCTAGTGGTGCAGCAAACAACCCACCCTTCGCACCGCCCAGCCTCTCTCTCCCTCGTCACAGTTCAGGTGTACGATGCCTATGGCGGCGGCACCAGATCCAAACTGACGTCGCCTGGTGTGTGGTCGAATTTCTAATCTTGATGGTAGATGTTCTACACGGGCCCATCAAGGTTCATCATTTACTTGAACGACGACTTCGAGGGCGGCTGCACTACCTTCTACACGCCTAACCCAGGCTCAAGCCAGTAGCTGTTTTGCAGGGGATTCCGAATTGGTTCAGCTGGGAAGATTCCTATTGAATCCAGCTCATTATAGAGGAAAACTAATATTTCGGAAAGCTTCGGTATGCATTTTCCGGTCTTCGGACGCTTGTGCTGTAGCGTGGTGCCTGGAGGGCGGCTTTCTTAATTGTCTACACTACCGTTGCTATTTCTCCTGGCGATGTCTTTACGTGACCAGAACTGCAGTCAAGCCTGCTTCCGTTTCAAAGACTTCGAACCACGCCTCTTCGCTGAGTCCAACCGTTTCGGTCGTTTGCAATAATGCAGCAACATGAAGGGTAGCCACATCTACAACTGCCATCAACGTAACATGGCCAGAGCAGAGGTTAAGCCCTTAGATGCCATGACAGGTTTGTATCCGAATGCAACCTTTTGGTGTGATGACACAATATAATGTCAGCAAAGAAGTTGATTCGTGTAGTTGGCGCTCTTCGTCCCGTGCCCGCCCCGTGCCATCCTGCAGGTGAGGAGGGTGTGCTGGACTCCAGACCTGTGAAGCCCCGCATCGGATCTGCAACAGTGTCTCAGCGAATTGAGATTCAGACGCGTCGGTGAGCAGGGGTCTGCGATCTCGTGTGCAGTTGAGCTACGCCCGAGGTGCCTGAAACTAGCCACGAATTGAATTCGCAAGAGTTGCCATGCACCTAACACGTTGAGTTTAACTCGCCCCTGACATGCCTTGTGCTGGTTCGTCCCAAACCGGCACCCAAGTTGGCTGTCGTCAAAGCAACCGACCCGGAAACCCTGATTGCCTACAGTGGTCTACGATTGGCTAAGTATTAAGGATCAGGGAGTACGAGACCCGGAACTTCAACTGCGGAGGGACAGATCAGAATCAAGTGTGTGGCTCCTTGCAGTTGCCACTTGAGGTCTTCCCTCATGGGGACTGCGGCACACCCTTACTTCACGAAGGCCTCCGGGCTAGGGTTTTTCTCAGGAAGCATAGGTAAGGATGGCACTCGAATCGCAGAATAAATCGCAATTGGGTGCCGAAACTCTTGACGGGCATGAGAAGTGTGGATGGTCGCGGTACGTAGCAACATCCAGCCAGAGAGCCTAACCGCGAACGGTATGTATCGTAAGCTCTCAGAGTGTATTAATCAGACTGCGGCCGTCGATACTTGAAACGAGGTTCCTATCATGGTCAGCCACGGTCCCGTCTACCTGGGTTCCTTCACAGGTCTCTCTTGAAATAGGGCTCTGACTCAAGAGCAGCCCCCAACATCTTGTGATCGCAGGTTCTGCTGTGACTTCCGGCACCAAGAGCCTCGACATGGGATTTCCGAGCGGTTTAAGGGTTTCAGGGATGCTGTGTTTCGATTTGATTTCGGGGAGCGAAGGCTGGAGAGCCCTTGAGCCTTCCCTTCAGGCTTGTTCCATGGTTCACTATTGCTTGGCATGTCAGACTTGAAAGTTCAGCTGAGTGCTTCTCCGTTTTTTGGCACGCGCACACTCTTACTCTTTTTTGTGTGTTTTTTTTCCTCTCTCTCTCTCTCTCTCTCTCTGCACCTAGAGTGGGGCGACCTGGCTGCAAGAAAGATTCCACAGGCTGTTGCGCCAGCCAGCCAGCCAACCAGCCAGCCAGTCAGCCCAGCCAGCTTCTGCATTAAAGTTTTTGGGCCGTACGCGATGTGCCCTTATTCGAGGTACTTGTTGCGGACTGACGTCGTCTACGCACGCCCGGCAGCTTGGCCAGGGGAGCAGTAGAAAGCAAAGACTCGAATGGTTGAGCCTTGAAGCCTGAAGCACTAAGAGCTGTCATCGAAGCGTCTTCTTCATGTGCTCGTATCCGCAGCAGCTTCTTGATTCTTGTGTTTAGGTGGAAGAAGGAGTGCAGGGCTTCTTCAGTTATGCTTGTCTTCGCTCCGACGGCGACTTGAACAAAAAGCTCAGATAATGTCAGTCATGCCCGGATGAGTGTTAGCGTCAAACAGGGACGAGGTCCGAAGTGCTCGGTAGACGCGACGCGCTTACAACACCAAAATTTTCAGACATAAAGAGGGACACGCCGACAAGCTGTCTTCCAAATTTCCACCCACTAGAAGGAAGGGTTGAGGCTGCTACACAAGCTGACCAGAAGCTTACGAGATTACACGCGTTCGCATATGGACTTTGGTTGAGTCTCCATCTGCCTGGAATACAGCCGCACACCCGACCCATGGCCGGGGACGGTTAATGCTCAGTCTGACCAACGCCCCACTTCAAAAGTCACTCGGCGCGAAGACCAATCTCCTAATGGCAGCATCTGACAAGCCTCACACCCCACATCCACGTGTTTTGGGTTTGTAGACTTGCTATTATGCTCGGGCACCGGCCTTACATCTTCGAAAGGTTTCATTTGCCGGATACAATCTTTTTAAACAACCACCGACATGCTGCTGGCGATCATTCGCAAATATGAGCAACAAGATGGCACTTTAATGCCTCATCCTCAAAATACGGTGTATTCCAAAGGGGTTGTACTGCAAAGACAAGACAGGAGACACCGGAGGAGTTGAAGCGCGCGGCCCGCCTGCGAGGTTTGGCCCGGCAGTGTCGTGGTCGCATCTTACGCCAGGGCCGGAGGTCTATGATTGCATACTAGGTTCCTCGGTAGTACCCTTTGGCACTTTTCTTATTTTTGTCGGCTCCTTGTTAAAACCGGACATCAGGAAAAAGGGTTGTAGAGGGTAGTATGACTTTTTAAAAGAGCGCCGGCTAATCATGCACGGACCACGTACGAAACGAGCATGAGCGGTGGGGGTCTGAAAAATATAAAGCGAATTCGAGCATTCCTTGGAGGTCAGGGCCTGGGCATCCGTAGGCGTTCACGAACTAACTTGTGTATGTGTGTGTGTAGTTTGCGAGTCTGGCAGGTCCGCCTTTGGGCTTCCTCTTGGGGTCCGTGGGATCGGTCGGAGCACATTCCGGCATTGTGTACGATCTTGCAGGTCTTGGCTTGCAGGGGTGGTTTCTTCAAACACACACACAGATAGATAGATAGATAGATAGATAGATAGATAGATCTATTATGCAGCACGTGCATCTGTGAATCTGTGTGGTCTCGCATGACTTCTCTTTCGGGCCAGAGTGAAAATAGAGTTTTGGGCGGTAGTGCATGATGCTATCCAAACCATACTGGGAGCCCGGACGTCTCCGAACTCAGGCTGGGTGGTCTGGGTGGCCAGGGCTTGCTACAGGAGAAGGAGGTGTCGGCCTTCATGAGGGTTTTCATAGCAAGAATCCAGACTAGAAAGGTTCTGGGTAGCCGAAGGATTCAAATTGCTAGGCGGGTTCACGCCCATGATTCTTTTGAGAAGCGATGATGATGGGCCGTCTCCTCGCTCCATGCATCGAAACGTACTTCTCGAAGGCTTGTTCCATCAGTTCTACCGGCGTACGATGGCTGCAGGAGCTGCAAGAAGCTCCTCCATCGAGCAAGCCCAAGAAAGCGAAGGCCGTTGTTTCTCACCAAAACACAAGCATTGGCGGTCGTAGTCCTAGCTGGAGTCGTGGTCCTGTGGTGGTGGGTTGGCATTACAGGGTTATAGACAAACTGCAATGATGAGTACAGCAGCGGGGCAGCCAGCAGAAGCCTGCCAACATTGACAGCGACGGCTGTTTGCCTACGGTGCTGTTGTAGGTTTACGTAGGACCCGACCCTAAACCCTAAGCCGTAGCCATTTAATTTGGCTCAAGACCGAGTCTTAGCTGCTCCGGGACTGCTTCCCCGAGCTGAGCAGTAGGAGGACTCGACCTCGAGAGATGCCCAATGGGCGCACCGACGTACCCATCGCAAGCAGGTAGATGCCGTGCTCGACCGGAGCCACAGACAGGTGGCGACGATTCGAAAGCTGGGTGTTGAGCTGGCTCGTGCACGAGCAGTTCTGGAGGAAACAGCCGACAAACTGAAGGCGGGAATGCAGCAGAAGGCACAGTTGCTGCGTCCTGCGGCCTCCAGGGATGTCCCTCGTGCACAGCGAGCCTGTGAGCGTGCCAGCTTTGCATGGAACTTTGTCCGTTGTGGAAGCTCATACGAATTGAGTTTGTTTGTTGATGAGACAAGGAGGGTTTTTGCCGAATGCCCAAAGCACCAGCTCTTCGACTGCCGAGATGTTGGGGTTGGGAAGGGCTGCATCCCTACAGTCGACAACTTTCTGCTGCGAGTACAGACCTGAAGTCCTGGCAGAATTGGTCGAAGGTTGTTACTTATGATGCCCGAATGCCGCCGTAGCAACTGTCACCCCACTTCTATGTTGCGAAGGGCCACGATTGAGGAACAAATTCACCATCGTGCTGACCTGCAGCTGGTTTCCCGAGAACTCTGCCGCTGAGAGATTTAGCTGCAAGAACTTGCTGTGCAAGACGTTGCTACCGTGACAGCTTCGCATCTTTTCTCCTTGCATGACGTGCCACCGCGAAATATGCCAAATATGCTGAGCAGATGCGACGCCTACAGCTACACCAAGAGTAGTCAAAGAGCCCATCAAGGACATATGTAGTATCTTGCTCAGTCTTTCGAGATAGCTGTGCTTCACCTTACTCAAGTCGCCTCTGAACTGTGGCCTGAGCCGGGTGTCCCGTCACATTGATTTGAGCCGCTGTTCCCCTGACGTGGTTGAGGACTCGAGCTTTGGCCATGCCGTGCGAGGGCTGAACTTGATAGTTATAATATCCTCAGATGCTGAGGTCGTTGACACGTCTCTTATCTCTGTCATGGCCATCAGATTTTCCGGTTGTGAGCTAGTGATGAGACGTGTCGCCTAAATCCGTGCCTGCTTCGCGAGTGCGCGAGTCAAAACTACCCTAAACCGCACCCTAAGCAGTGATGCTTTGTAAAGCACGCGGGGCTGCATGCTCGCCAAAGGTTTATGTCGACTCCTGGTTCGAAACTAGCGGCGCCCAAAGCAGAACCACCTCGAAGTTTGAGCTTTCTAGGCTCCAGGAAAATCCTGAAGTCATGCAAACCATAGTTGTGAGGTGGGCAAG